GTGTATTTAACATAACGTGAAACTAAAAAGAATTTCTTGTTTATCAAAAGTTTAGGGATTGGATCAACCATTTTGGTCCTACTTCTATATTTTGAGAATCAAAAATACATTTTCCACAAACCTAAAAGTTAGTTTACTGTTTTGACAATGGGTTTGACTGTTCTAATAATGCCTTCAATACAAAAGTAGTTAAGCAAATATTTTCAACTTGCTTGTCGACAATCAAAAGTATTGAAATTAGAAACCCACAAATCAGAAGTCTAATTTCAAATTCTCCTTTTTCTCCCCGCATCTTAAATCTTACCATCCTTCTCAAAAAAAGTTTTTGTTTTGGGTTAAAAATTTTCAAATTGTGGAAGTCTTTTGACAAACTTTTCAAGTACATCAACTTTAAAAATGAAATTGCTTTCGGGAGTAGGATTATGATCTGTGGGCCTCAACCGCATGCCAATTGTCACCCCTTTACATGGGCCAATTTTCCAATTATTAATTCAACATACCAATTTTGGGCCTATACTAAGTTTCTACTCACAAATATAACGTTCAACATGGCACACGATTTTCTTGAGTCCATTTTTTTTTTTTCATTGTCACTATCTACATCTATTTCTATTCCTAATTCAACAAATAGAAGAGCGTTAAAAATTACTTCCAAACGAGACAAAACTAATTAGAACAGTCAAATCCATTGTCATTGCTGGCAAATTGCAACTCCTCAAAGTCAAATGTGTCTATCCATTTATATCCATTAACAACAAGACTTAGAAAAGCAATAGCTGCATGTGATTCTGATGTTTCTGAGTCTATTTTTCTTCCAAAAACTCAGCGGCCGTCCACAAACAATCAGAACAAAAGAATTTGTCAGAGGAAATTCTGATTGCAGATGTTTGCTTGATTGTTGAAGACATCAATTTACTTGTTTTGTGAAATCTGCTAGAAGATGTCAATTTAGTTGTTGTTTTATGAAATCTGCTAGAAGATGTGTATTTGCTTGTTTGCCGGATGCGGCTGCGGTTGCTAGGAAAGCAGGGGAACCATTAGTGATAGAGGAAATTACAGTTGCCCATCCAAAAGCCCGTGAACTTCGTGTTCGAGTCTTATGCTCCGCCTTCTGTTTCAGTGACACCTATTTCTAGAGACTCAATGATAGGTTGCAATTTTATTATTTATTTCATTATTAATTTCCCCTATTACCTGACCCGATGTTGGTTAATTGTTAGATTCTACTCACTTTTGATATTTTACATTTATTTCAGGGAGTGGAACGAAAATATGATAACAAGTTCCAATTTGACAGGAAAGGAATCCAAGTAACAGAGCTTATTCAAGGGTATTTTTGGAAATGGAACACTTTTTCCCATTTTGGTAATTGCTGAAGAGGAGAGCACGGAGAGTCTCCTATTTCCCTGGGGGCCGCCGCATAGAGGAAAGAGGGGAAGCAATTCTTAGATAGCAATTAGAAAAGCATTAGAGTAGGACTTAGATAGATATTAGATAGCAGAAAACAAGCACCACTTTGGGAGCACCTTTTGACTTTTCCTTCTTTTGCTTTTTGGGTAGTCTTTTGTCTCCTCGGATGTTAGGATCAATTAGGAGATTCAATCATTCTCTGTCACTTTCGTTTTCCTTTCATTTGTTCAGACGCATTGGGCTTTCCAAAACGTAGACAATGGCCGCGACTTTTGTTTCAATTGTGCGTGGGTTTTTCGCATCAAATATGAACTAATTTCTTCACTCTAGTCAAGGAACAACAGAGATTTTGGTTCGCCTAAAAATTATGAGACCGATCTAATTTCATCTTTTTCTTTTATTTGTTAGTATTCGGATATTCCTTGATTGTAGTACTTATGATTATTTAATTAATTGATTGTCTTGAATTCGGATAATTAGTTAACTTGATAATCTATTGTCAATTAGGGCATTAAATTCGTAATTATTTAATTGCTCTGAATTAGTGACAACTAGCATAATTAGGTTTGTGTCAGGGGGATACGCGGGCTAATTTAAAATAATCCTGATAGTGCGTTATTTGGTTAGAATAGGGTTCCTCTAGTACGTAAGGCAATTGGGGAATTAAATCTAACGGGCGTACCTAGGATTATTTTTCAATTAGAGTAGTGATTAACGTGTGTACCTTAATCACCGACACAATAAGGAGGGATTGACTGCCATCGCTTGTTTGGCAGTTATAACCTATTTATTAATAAATAATTGGAATTGCCTTTGCATCGATGATCAATTAGGTGAATTATTGTTGAAGTTATTTTTTGGCTAGACCTTTAATTATTATTACTCTGATTTTAGTGAATTGTCATTTAATTTTAGTTGGCTATTTTATTTTTAGTTGAACTGCTCTAATCGTCATCCTTTATACAAAAACATCTCTCGTGTTACTTTGGATTTTAAAAGAGACAAATATCCTCCGTCCCTGAAGATACGACCCTACTTGCCCTGTTTATAAATTAATAATTATTTGTGAAAAAAGCCATCCCATTCGAATATATCGGATCAAGCAAACTCTTCAGGAACAGAGTGAATCAAGTAACCCATTACACACCTAAAGTCCCTGCTCCAGTACTTAAAATCGGGTTTTGGTTATTTTAATTGGCAATTAGGTTTATTTTTATTATTGCACAGACATCGACAACCTGTCACTCAAAGTATGCCCTCTAATCACACATAGATCAGCATCAATTTGCATATGAATCTATACTTAGCTCATATTCTGACAAATTCTTTTGTTCTGTTTGATGTTCTGAGTCTATTTTTTCTAATACCACCAGGTGCCGTGACTGAAACAAACAACTTTTGAATTGCTAAATTTTCGTATTAGCAACATACTACTATTGAAGATAATCATCTAACTTGGGACCTTTCAGCCAACTTTGAGTGAGATGTACTTTGAAAAGTAATTATGGTAAAATGTTAAGTACTAATACTTAAAGAAGGAGAAGTTTTGGATTATTTTAACAATTTTTTGGTGATTTAATCAGATCCCTTTTAAGAGCCCTTTTTCTTAAAAAGATATTCATCCAATGGATCTAAGGTTTCCGTGTTCAAAGGCAGCTGCCCTCAGTCCCTACCAACATGTAACATGAAATTCTAATTATTTATTTATTTAAGTTGGTCAAGGCATAATGCTGCACGCCTTCGTTGGGGTGATTTAATAATGCCATAAACAGAAAGTTGCCTAAAAGAAATGGAATTAAGGGGTAATAGTCCAAGCTTATGGGATAAGCATGAGAGACTCAGCGGGCACCAGTGAGACCAATACTCCACTGCCCAAGTTGAGCGTCGACCCAACAAGGCCATAGGAAATCGATCGAATAGATGGGGATTGAATTATCATCGGACTATACTGTCCAAGTTGAGCGTCAACCCAACAAGGCCATAGGGAATCGATGGGGATTGAACCACCATCGGATCATAGTACATTAAACACACATATGGATCTTAGAAAAGTCACATTAAGTGATAATTTTGATAGAAAATAAGGTTTGAACCTTTGATCGCTCACCCTACAAGATATGTGATGGCGAATTCCTCTAGAGGAAGTTGGTTTCATTGAGTCCATCTGGTTGGCTAAGATTTCAAGCCTCATGGGATTTGCTTTACCAAGGTCTGGCACTGTAGTAGGGAGCCCACTCTTCTATCCTGATCTACCCATGTGGAGACTTTTTCGGGCAGTTGATTTGAAATTTTTTTTTGGGTAAAAGATAAAAATTTTGGAGGTGGAGGAGAAACTTTCCTCATCACAAAATCACATGATAGGCTACTGGCACATTTTTTAATGATATTATAAATTGTTTATCATTCGAAATCTGCTAACACCAAACTCAAAATCTAGGTTTTTGCTAAAGTAAGATGAACGAATCTTTCCAATTGAGCTAACGTTGATTTATAGCATCAAGTGTTAAGAATTTGACCATCAAAACTGATCGAGAAGCCTATGCTTGGAAATTTTGGATCTTTGTGTTGTCTTTATTTGTATCTAATTCTTCATGCATTGACATAAGATCGAATGAGGATCTAACTGCTTTACATAAAATTATAGAGGAATTATGTAAATATGTACAAAATTATGAGCAATTTAAGTGAACATCCATGCAAAAGTATAGAAATTAAGTGCATATTATAATTTCATTACACGTATTTTTGGAGCATCTCTAGGTCAATCACAGTAAGTGAAGGTGCTTTTTGTTCAATTTTCACATTACATAAAAACTACGGGATTATGAGGATTATTTTGAAATATAAAGGTGATCGTCTTGAAATATGCAAAATCATATGGGGGATATTAGTAATTTACCCAATTTGATATTTTATCATCGAACCAACTAAAAAGAAACAGATTTACTTATTAAAAAAAACCGATTTATTGCAACATTTCAACACCTAGATCAGAACCTTTTATCTATGATCATTCAAAAATCAAGAAAATTATACAAAATTTGAAAGCGCACTTTTCTTCAATTCTGCAACCATTCATCCCCCACATTATTAAGTTTGGCATTTGGCACAGCAGCATCTAACAAGGTGGCATGTCTGGAGGTGGAGGAAGCATTTGTTCTCCTGGGCCAGTGCCATTTTTAACAATGAAGGTCATTCCCATTCCCCAGCTTAAATGACGCTCGAAATGGCAGTGCATGAACCACACGCCTGCAAGGAATTAGGTGAGCCCTATGCCGGACACATTTAACAATTTTTTTTTGTAATAAAACAAACGATATTGAAACAAGATAAACAAACGGGATTGAAGATTTTGAGTATAAATTTTACAATTGCGGGAAAGGTTGCACGTGCACCAGGTTAGAAGCGTCTGAGGACTTGATATATATATATGTTGCACATAAAGGCAACTAGAGTGATACTTACCAGGATTATTGGCCCTGAATCGGATAGCTGTCCAGCCGTCCCTGCGAACGGCAATTGTATTCATAAAAGGGGGGTCCTCAAGAGATCCATGGTTTGTCCTGGGGCTATAGCAATGTAACCACTCTTTAATTGCTTTGTGTAGCTTCCATCTGTTCCCACAACTGTAAGAGTATGGTTTGCAATGCCAAAGAACATCAGGTTGTTCATGACAGCATTGACCATCCGGAGCAAATAAGTTCTTCCAGAAGTCACATTCAACTTGAATGTATCTGCAAAATGACAAGGTTTCAGAGAAATCACACAATTAGAACCAATTGAAAATGGTCCTTTTAATCCTGTATCACTTACCTGGTATTACTGAACATGAATTAAAATCGCCAGGATGGCTGTTTATCATGAAAGCATCAGACCGCGCAGGGTCTCCCCCACTATGTAAAAACTCTTCCACCACATCTGTTATATTTCTCTTCCACCATTCTCCTGCATTGAAGCATTTTTAATCGTTAATTTCTGTTTTTAAATTTCAATTTTGAACTTGTGGTTGCACCATAACTTTTCAAATTTGTCCTAGTAAGTCCAATCAATAAAAATATTAACAAAACTGACGAAATAGAAAACTTTGATAGAACAAATATAAAAGATTCGAATGCAAATTGTCTGAAGTTTAGAATAAGGTACAAACTGAGAATGAGGTACAAGTTCGGAGGCAAAAAATTGGATCTAGCCCAAATTTAACATACAAGAAAATAAAATGCAATGACTAAACTAGTCAAAACAAGGTTCCATCACCCTTCTTAATCTGAAATGCACCAGTCCAGTTGAATCAGACTACACAGTAACAAACTGATAAAAATTGTCAGATTGATTGTCAGAGAAATGATTTACATGTTTTCATAATTTATTCCTAAAATGGGGTGATTTTATTAATTACCTAATCAAAGAACAGAGTTAATCCCTTTAGTTGTACCTAATATGATGGGAATTTCTGCATCAGGCTTAGGAAACGGGTATCTATCTCCCCTTTTGGGGTAAATAATGATTGCGCCATGAACTGTCGCTCGAGACCAGTCACTATGACCATGCCACCACAAAGTTCCAATCTCTTCTGTGATTATGACTTTTTGGATAAAAGAGTTTCCTGGCATGATAGGGCACTGAGTTATGAACTCTGGACCATCGGACCATGGATACATTGGCTGTAAAATTCCATGCCTAGATACATGACAAAGTCGTTCAATTAATTAAACTCTTCTTCTCAAATTCAGCGAGAACAAATGCAATGCTTCTCGTATATATACTTAAACAAAATGGAAGAGGAAACCATTTGTATTACCAGTGAATAGTGAAGTTTTCTTTTCCTTTGTTATGGACATGAACAAAGGCGGTATCTCCCTGACGAAGGTGTAAGGTTGGTCCTGGAAATAGACCATTTACTGTCAAAATATCCTTGGTACTGCAGAGTCTTGTATATGAAGCTTCTTTGACCTGCACAAAATTAGAGGTGATTGTAAAATGATAGGGAAGCTAAAGAAGTATGAAGTCTTTCATAGAGCCATTGTTCATATATCGATACATTTAGCAAATAAAGAAATTAAGACCGTTCATACGCGTAGGTTATTAGTACTAATCAATGATAGATGACTTGACATTTAGCACAGTGCGTTGGCTTATTTGAGAATGTAAACATTGCTTTATGCCTATATCTTCGGAATTCTGAAATGTTTGCAACAAATCAAACAGCCATGGGCTAGCTTATGATGAAATGGGGAGAAGAACAGAGCAATTTGGAATTTTGTAGTATTCGTTTGTGTTGAATGTCAAACTCTTTTTAGAGAGAGAGAAAGAGAGAGAGAGAGAGAGAGAGAGAGAAGTCAAATCCCTAAAGCCATAAATTTTCTATTTGCCAAAAAAAAAAAAAATTAATGGATACAAGCTCATATTTCACTCTGACAAGGTATAAAAGAAAAAGCAGAAATCACCTGTAACAAACAAGTACTAATTTGCAAATCACTTAATAAACATCAACTTTTACTTAACGGGAAAAAACCTACCACCGAAAACATTTTTGATGATTTTGGGGTTAAAAACTCTTTATGTGGTGCTAAACTTGGAATGTTTAATCTCTAAGACCCAATATAGCTAGTAGATAGAAATATTAGTTAAGTGATAATGAAATTATCGATTCAACTCTCATTGTAAAATTTGAGATCTCCCTTTTAAAAAAAAAAACTAAAATGCTTCATACGGAATGATTATGCTCGTCAAACTAAGTTATACGTACCACAAACGAATAATTATGAATAGCAGCTTGGCTAGGCGAGACACCAGACAGAATAAGTAACACAACAAAATGCAAGACAAAAACCTTCATGATCAACCACATTAATTATATGACTATGTTTGTTGGGATGGCAATATAAGCACAAACTCTTGAGGTATTTATTATACTATCAACATATCAATGGAGACAACGTTCCTTTTCTGGCAAGAAAAATTAGGTATACACGTAACCCCCGATTGACCTTCTTGTATCTGTTCAAATTATACTTTTACTGTTGGAAATTTCAATTAGTATAATCCTTCACCATCCTTGAAGTGCAAGTTCCAATTGAAAAATATTTATTAACTTGTAAGTATTGAATAATTTCGAAACTGATAAGCCTATGTTTTGGAATTTTGGATCTTTGTGTTTTTCATTTGTATTTAACTCTTCATGAATTGACATAAATTGCTTTACACGAAATTATTGCACGACATTAGTATATCTTAGTACTTATAATAAAATGTGATGAAAAGAGTGCAATTGTATGCTTTTATTGTCTCGAACTATTGCGAATTTGTAATCAAAATCCGATGGAAAACATACTTTTCATACGCAAAACTTCGAGGAACCGGTTAACCTTTAATTGTAACATGACTTAATGCCTAAGTGTTAGGGTGTCAAGCCAATTATTTGAAAAGGAAAAGACTAACAATTTAATAGAAAACAATATATAGCACGAACGATGAACAACACACAAGAATTAACGTAGTTTGACTTAATCACCAAACCTACATCCATGGAGAGAAAAACTTGTTCTTACTATGAGAAAAATACCACAAGGTTACAACTTGATTCCCAAACCCCAACTCTTGTATAACCCTCTTACCCACTAAGAACTCTCTCACTCCTTTCTTGTGTGTCTTTGTAGTATGGTAATCTACCTATTTATAGAGAACATTATTGCCAAAAAACCAAATAACAATTGGAAACCAATATTATTTCCTAAACTCATATAGAGTAGGAAATAGCATCTAATTCTTGCTAAATAGGGCTTTACTTGACTACTACTTCAAGTAACTAAATCTAATTAGGAAATTAGTTACTTCCACACAAAACATAAATTCTACCTAAAAGAAATTAAGCCAATTTCCTAACAAATCTCTACCTTGGCGAAAATTTCTTTTAGCAACCATTTGCCTTCAACTACCAAATAATATGGTACCAAACTACACACCCGAATCAATACAGTTCTGACATCAAATTGATTCAATCGGCAAATAAACATGTGTAGTTACCCCGAATCCAACCTCCAGTTGACTCGTGAGAAGGTGCCTCAATTCACCATCTCCCTTTATAGGATTTCTTCTCACCACCACTTGCAATCTGGGATCCCCTTCTGTGAGCTCTAACCCTAACCATTGAGGCAATCAAGTGGTAAAGTCACCATACTTCTTTCCATCCTTAGGACTGTCTCGCCACATGTAGTTTCCAAGACTCCACCTAAAACGAAAAACTCGTACCTGTCAGAGTCTTCTGACACATAGAAATTAGATCTCCTTGTTTCTTTGGGACATGTGCCACACCACCCAAAAAACATAACCAAAATCTAAAATTCACCGGGATGAAGAATCAACCGTTAGAGGTGTGAGAAAGTCTCCACCGATTCATGTCCAAAATCAACATTGGATTCCACCTTTTTCTTGACCTTTGAATCACCTGCCTAGATTCACCGTCAAACATCTCCATGCTTTTCGACTTCCCATCCTTCACCATCAATGCTTTTTGCCAAGCCATTGAAACAAGGATACCACTCATTAAATCGTTCAATTAGTAACAGCTACCAATCCACTTGATCTTAATAGTTAACTAGGATCCAACCACGAATTTTACTCTATTGCCTAGTCTCGCAACCAGGCTCTGATACCACTTGTTAGGGTATCAGGCCAATTATTTGAAAAGGAAAAGACCAACAATTTAATAGAAAACAATATCTAGCACGAACGATGAACAACACACAAGAATTAACGAGGTTCGGCTTAATCACCAAGCCTACATCCACGGAGAGAAAAACTTGTTTTTACTATGAGAAAAACACCACAAGGTTACAACTTGATTCCCAAGCCCCAACTCTTGTATAACCCTCTCACCCACTAAGAACTCTCTCACTCCTTTCTTGTGTGTCTTTGTAGTATGCCAATCTACTTATTTATAGAGAACATTATTGTCAAAAACCAAATAACAATTGGAAGCTAATATTATTTCCTAAACTCATATAGAGTAGGAAATAGCATCTAATTCCTGTTAAATAGGGCTTTACTTGACTACTACTTCAAGTAACTAAATCCAATTAGGAAACTAGTTACTTCCACACAAAACAGGAATTCTACCTAAAAGAAATTAAGCCAATTTCCTAACACTAAGTTAATCTCATTTTTGTTGTTTTAGAGAAATTTCTATGTTAAAACAAACACTTTTGGTACTCGCATTTATACCTTGCAAAGTTGTGAAAAAGAAATGGTTTATAAAAGCTAAGTCTTAAGGCTCTTAACCATCATTTCTGCAGCATTAAATTTTTTTTATCCATAACAAGATCAGGGTATTTTAAGCAGTTGTATGGCATGAAAAATTTTTATTGAAAAAAAAGTAACGAAAAGAGAAACCAAACACGATTTGTTGTCCATCCAAGGATTTGGAGTCTATGTGGCAATAGGTACATTAAAAAAGAAACAAAAATTGCAAGTGAATCATTTCGGCATTGATATTTTTTTGCTAGAAAGATTGTTTTTGCAGTATACTCACTGTTTAAATGATAGTATAAGATTCACTTTTATTTTGTGGTTAAATATAATAGTTTCATAATCAATTTTGACTGTTTCCGAGAACCAATTCAACTGGTAGGGATATTTTGACGGTTCAATATTGATTGTTCAGTTCTTTCTTTGTAAGATTTAGAATCCCTTCTATTCCAAAAAAAAAAAGGGTTTTCGACTAAACTTTAATAGTTACAATGGAAGCAAGCAAAGCAAAATTAAAGAGCATCATCTTAATAAAATAAACAAATCACTTTACATATGTATGAAGATTGTAATTAACACTTTTTCCGGATCAATGGGTGATCATACTGTGGATTTCTTGGAAGTTGATTAAACACGTTTTTAAGTCTATCTAACATTCTTCTTATCTCATTTTTATTCAACACCTCTTTGTCTTGCCTCACATCAAATCACTATCGGAGCTGATATTTAATTCTAGGCTGTAATTAGCTTGCACTGATTGTAATTTTTTTTTCACCATTTAAATCCACTACCAGCTACTACAACTCGACAGAACAAAAAATTCCACCAGAAGAATTGTCTTTCTCCATCGGTTGGGCCTTAGGAGAAGAAAACGTGACCTCTAGCATTCTAGAGCTCCTTTAGTCAAATAAAGAATATCGAGCGAGTTTTTTTAGCATACTCAAACAGTTGACATTCTTCTTTGCCTTTTAGACAAAACTAAAATGCATCTCTATCATATTACTGTGAACTTATTGACTAAAGGCATCTTTTCATTAGTTTTCCAACTAAATTAAGCGAGCAAAACAACATCATTGGAGGGCAATTTTATTACTCATGACAAACAAACGTATGTGCAGATAAATGAGATAAACAAGCATTATTTGACTGAATAGCTATTATTAAAGTCAGATTAAGAAAAAAAAAAAAAGTTCCATCCACCTTCTAGATTGGAAATTAGTTGGAAAAGTTAGGCATTCATGACTAGCCGACAAATCATCCAAATTTGCATTTTGATTAATTTTTTTCACGTATGTTTTGTCTGAAATTTGTGCAATTAGTTCTTGAGTACCTGTGAATGCCATCTAATTTGCCTCTCTAAAGCCACAAGCAAACATCTATTACGTATTAATGTTTACTGTTCGGGGCAAATGATATTGTCACAGCTCAAATTTTATTTCCACAGCAAAATTTGTTAGAATGAAAAAAATTACCACTTTGAAGTCCAAATTGGATTTGGATTTGAGAAGGACAAATTTGATATTTTATGCAAAGATTGTTGTGCAGATAGGATTTGGACCATGCCTCCGTTCCCACACCACAAAATTAATTTCGATGCGTCAATATCTACCACAAATCATAAATTTGGAATTCGTATGGTCATTCGCAATCATGATGGTAAATTCATTGCCGGTTTTCTAAAAAAACCCAAGTGCCCATTTGAGGCTGAACTAGCAGAAGCACTATCTGCAAGAGAGGCAATTTCACTTGCTAAGGTCTTCATTTTGGATGCGGATTCATTCTCGGTTATTAAACTAATATGCAGTTTTGAAGACACACTCTCTGATAGTCATTTGTTAGTAATTTTATTAGTAATTTTCCTTTTTATCCCTGTCAAATATTGTGTTAATTGCGAATATCTACTTATATTTGGTTTGTGGACTTAATTTCAGGAATGGAACAGAAAACTACCAAACATGAGAGTCTTTCTGGAGATAATTGAGACTTCAAACAAGCTACAGGCCAGTGCCACAGTGCTGAAAAGAACTGGACTCCCATTCCTTTATTTTTGTTGACTAAGAAGACTACAACCAGAGACTTCGGCAGAGAGAACTTCAAGGCTTGGGCCTTTGACTTCGGCAGGGACCACGGAGGAAAGTAAAAGGGCTTTAGGCATTTGGCTCTTAAGAAGAAAGCAACGTAGAGAGCCAGAAAAACTAAGAAGAAATTTGGAGGCTTGTGGCTAAGTGGTGGGGACCGCACTGAGGCTCAAAACGAGGAGAAGAATTCGGCGGACTTGAGCTATTTCGTGGGGACCACTGGATGAGCTTTGAGTCATCTTTCTCTTGGTTCTTAAAAGGGGGATAACATATAGAAGCGGAGCACACTTTTTTTAGTTTAGTTTGTTAGTTTAGTTTTAGTTTTCTTTCTTTTGTCTGGCCTCTGACACACGCCAGGTATTCGACAATATTTTTCAACGGGAAAAACATCTTTTATTCCTTGCTTTCTAGTAAAAAAACCGCAATGCCTTTGCAATCCATTAATTCGTGTGGTGATTTAATTATGCGGCGTGGCTAAGTCTTCCATCTAGTTAAGGGTCAATTCGACAGCGCAGTCCCGAACATCTGTGAGATCTAATTAGTTTTCACGCGTTCATTAATTTATTAATATTTGCACGTTGTCTGCTTGAAGTTTCATGGGATTATTTTATTAATTGGATTTCAAGGGCCCGATGTTCAATGTGATTTATTAATCTCGTGCCAATTTAGTCAATTAAATCCGTAATTGTTTGATTGATTAATATTAGTGGCAACTGGTGTGTTTACACATTAGGGTAACGTGCAATCTAATTTAAATAACCCTCGTAGCGTGTTATTGATTAGGGCTAGGTTTTTCTAGTTATTAATGCAATTGGAAAATTAATTCCTACGGTCGTACCTAGGAGTATTTTCTGGTTAGGGGTGATCAATGGTCGTACCTTGGTTATCAATAATTTAAGGAAAAATTGGTTATTAGAATTCATCGGCGACTATAACTAGCCTATTAAGAAATTAAGAGAACCTTCCTTGCATCAATGATCGGATAAATGGACTGTGTCTGAGTAGTTGTATCCTTGGCTAGAATTTATCTATACTTGATTTAATTCCTGCTATATTCGTGCTAGTTAATTATTTATTTTTAGTTGATTTGTTTAATTGTTTTTAGTTTCATTTCGGTGAAATCCCGCCTTACCAATTGGAATTTGAAAGAGACAAATATCTCCAGTCCCTGAGGAGACGACCCTACTTGCCACTGTCTACTATTTAGTAATTTTTGTCAACTAATTAATTCTGGTATATCGGATTAAGCAAACTCTTCGGGAACATGGTGAATCAAGTAACCCATTGCACACCTAGAGTCCCTGCTCCAGTACCTAGGATTAATTGTTGACTGCTTTTAGTGGTAGTTAGATTCTATTTTTTATTATTACACAGGCTCGACGACCTGTCAATTTTTTGCGCCGTTGCCAGGAGCTGGCGTTATTTATTTGTTCCCTTTTAAATCTAATTTATTTTTGCTTTCTTATTTTTTTTCTTTCTGGTATTTTTTTAGTTTATGCCTCGTTCTTCTCGTACAGACGAACTAATTTTCGACCCTGAAGTAGAGAAGACTGCGCGCCGAACTAGAAAAGAGACCAGACAACTCAGAGAGGAGCAATCCAGTGTGGTATCTCAAAGACTAGATCCAGAGGCTGAGTTGACAGATTTACGTGGCGATAATTCGAGTGATTCGTACCAAGAGAACGTCGCCATGGCAAACACACAAATATTAAGGGAGTTGGCTGCTCCAAACTTGACCCAACAACCTCTTTGCATAACTTTTCCTCGCCTTAGTGAGAATGCAGCTTTTGAATTAAAACCTGGTCTAATACATTTGTTGCCTACTTTTCATGGTCTGCCAGGAGAGGAACCCCACAAACACATGCAGGAATTTGATGTGGTGTGTTCGAGTATGAAGCCTTCGGGAGTAACTGATGAACAAATTAAATTAAGGGCCTTCCCTTTCTCTCTCAACGATTCGGCAAAGGACTGGTTATACTGTCTACCTGCAGGCATTATCACCACGTGGCGAGAGATGAAGAAAAATTTTTTTGAAAAATATTTCCCTGCATCCAGAGCTGCTAGTTTGCGAAAGGAAAAATGTGGCATCAAGCAATTTCACGGGGAATCCTTGTATGAATATTGGGAGAGGTTCACCAGGCTGCGTACCCGATGCCCTCATCACCAAATAAGTGATCAACTGCTGATTCAGTACTTCTACGAGGGGCTACTGATGAACGAT